TATATAAATAAGTAGATAAAGTTTCCAACAAAGATCTTGAAATTATATATATTAAAAAAACATATTTAGACCAAGTGTACAATTTAATTACTGCAGTGTTTGCAGTGCCTTTAAAATAGCCTTAATTAAATAGAGAGTATAAGCACTTTTTCCACTGTAGAAAAAGCAATATATGCACAATGTTGAAAATAATAAATTTGATCTAAATATGTTTTCTGATAAAATTCCGCACGCGAGAACTTTTGTATACTCAATGTTTATATTTGTATTTAATGTTTTAGGAGAATTTATATTACCGAAAGGCGCTGATATTTTCCTGCCATTTATAAAAATACATCGAAATGAAACATATTGGCAGAATCCATTGGTGTTTGATCCTGATAGATTCCTTCCGCATAATATGGCTAATCGTCATCAATATAGCTACTTACCTTTCAGTAACGGGCCAAGAAATTGCATAGGTATATATAAATATCATAAATATTAAATAATACTACGATATCTGTGTATGTATGTCATGATAAATTAATATATTATTATGATTAATCAAATTGCAGGATGGAAATATGGAATGGTTTCCATGAAAGTTATGCTAGCTACTTTGATACGAACATTCGTATTCAAAGTAGACAAAAGGATTACACTAGATGAAATAAAATTGAACGTAGCTCCATTATTGACTGTTATTAATCCTTTAAAAGTTAAGATAAAAAAAAGAAACGTATAACACAAAATAAACAGGTATAATAATATAATTAACAAATTTTTATATAATACTTAATAACAATCAATTAGAATATTTAACAATTGACTGACCTTATAGACGGCTTATTGTGATGTAATCCCGGCATCGCTTACTGTCACAATGCAGGATTTCTCGTCTGATCTTAGATCCTTCCAAACAGTTATCTTTCGAATTTCGCTACGCTGTCTTATTATCAGTAATCTCGTGACTGGTACCCTCGCCCAGTATCTTCCTAATGCCGGTGTTATGGCGGCAGGATCTACTTGATCGGTGGAATTCCATTGGGTAACTGAATTCACCGTGACCACGATTGCATGGCATTGTCTCGTGAGGAATCGACATGCCTCGGCCAAATCATCGAGCTCGTATGTCGTCTCAAGATCATGCTGGTGCACTTGTCGTGTTACCTTCAGAGAAATAAGATAATAGCTGATTGTTAAAAACTATGAAGGTTATTATAATTCCTAATTTTATATACTACTCAATTTAATATTAATTATAAGTTAATTATTATGAAAATTGGCAAGAAATATTATTATTTAATAATATTAATTGATACACTCTAATCATATTGCATTAATATATGCATAAAATATAATAAAAATATTTTAGAAGACAACAGCAATAGAAATTAATCTATCAGTACCTTAAAGATAACTGCTGGTAAAGAATCTATAATTACAAGAGGAAATCTTTTTTCTTCGAGCGACACATTATTCTTCCTTGTTTTATAGAAAGTTACTAATTCGCGCAAAACTCGTATTAAGTCACGGGACGAACGTATATGACAGACTTTTGTACGTTGCAGTACGTTTTCTATAATCTGGAACAAAAAAATACGACATTTATATTTCCAGAATTTTACAATAAAAATTAATAAGTATTAATTAAGGCAAGTTTCATTTGTATAATGCAATGTAAGAAATTTATCAGTATAAAAATTTTAAAGGTAATAAACAATCATATTAAAAAACTTTCACACTCTACATAAATATGATCTTATTTTTTTTCCATAAAATTGTTTTTCTTTTAATTGAACATATAATCAATTTACATTGTGCTGCATAATATTATATTCAATTCAAATTTGTGTTATAATTTTTGATCTAATAATTAATTAAATTTATTAACATGCCGATGTTTTGATTAATATTTAAAGTTATTACCTCTTGTCTGAAGTTTTTTGCCTTTAAAATCTCTTCGTATCGAAATCTGGTGAAATCTCTTTTTGTATCAAAATAATATACAATGATGTCTGACTGAACAGCAATATTAGCAGCTATTGTCAAACATAATTGAGTCTTTCCAGAGGATGATGGCCCGCATAATTCGCACAATTGTCCAGGATACAGGCCACCTTTCAGCAATTCATCCAAACTGTTGCAATGAAAATCAAATATTAAATATCTATCTCCTAAACAATAGTTGCATGTATTTGTGTTTATCAACATTATCTCAATTAAAAGTTAATATATATTTCAAACATACCACTTTATATTGATCGGAATATAGCTGCGCTCTATTGCAAGAACCTCAATCGCATTCCTCTTTGTGCCACTGTAATTCTTCAATATGTGTTTCTTCACTTCTAATATATCCTGCAAATGTTAATATTGTGCTGAATCAAGTTCCAAATTTTTTATTTCCTTTTCTCAAGTTAAAAAAATATAAATAAGTTATATTAATATCGATTGAAACTAATTTTTGAATTGAGTTGGATTCCAAAATTTATTCTTTGGAGTAAAGTAATATTTAATTGGTCAATCAAGAAAAAAAGAAAAAAAAAAATCCGTTAAATATATACCGTATGTGAAAGACCGGTGAAGGTTGCCAGTTTAATCGGATCCGTCGTGACAAAATCCACGATCGTAATCACATTTTTTCGTTGCAATTTCTCTGTCACCATCTCCGACAAACTCGGATGAATGCTCGCGTCCAATTTAATCATCCTTCAATCCTGAGTGTACGTACACATCTTTCTTCTTCTTCTTCTTCTTTGTGGCTGTAATACATACACACATACATTAATTATCTAAGAAACAAAACAATAAAGTTTGAAAGACTTTGCTTTTCTAAAAAGCCAACAGAGAATTTGTGGTATATTGCGTACATGTGTGTGTGTGTGTGGGTGAATGGATGAGAATTATTAAAACAATTACATAAATAAAATGTGGATAAACGTACGTAGACGTGTTTGAGCGTCTAATTAAAATCTATACGCGAAATAACATAGGTTTTTAGCAAACAAGAAGGAAACAATTCGAACCTCTGTTTAACACTACTACATAGCAAATGAAACGTGAGATTAATACATAAAAAAAATACAATTTTCGCAGCAATGTCACATCAATCACAACAATAATATGAAGTATTTTGAATTATTTCTTCTTCTTCTTTATGGCGCTTGAGCGCCCTAGGTCATATTTTGAATTATTTAAACCGATAGTCACGATGCACGAATATCTAGACACGATAACGCCCGAGCGAAAATCCTAGTGACTTTAAAATCCCCGAAGCGCAGGGATAATTGGTATGAAGAGACATTAGGGCGCTATTACATTTGTCACACGTATCGATATTTTTGATCCCTAGAAGAGAAATTTTCCCTATTGGATATCGGACGCAGAGTGAATCTACCATTAATATAAATCCCGCCGTATGGATTTTTATTGCGCGTATTTCAAAAAGCGCGCACTTGTGTGGGCGATTCCGGATGGCTCTTCCGGCGATATCGACGATAACCGGGACAAAGCGCGGAGTGTCCGAGTTGTCGCTCACTTCGTCGAACGCGCGACGCGCACGCGGTTGCTCCCGGCATCGACGGAGGGGTAGATTCAGGGAGATCCGTTCCTGTTCCTGCCTCCGATCCCGAAGGTGATCCCGGAACGACCCGGTCGTTTGCCGAAATGGCGATCGTTACCGCGGCGGCGGCGAGGGTATCCGCGCGCAAAAATGCCGCCCGGCGGCGGCACGCGTCTCCTCGCCAGAGACGCACGTGCGCGCACTCGACGATCGAATGGCGCCCCCGCGGCACTCGTCGGCCCCGACAACGCGAAACCTCGAGGAGCCGAGCGACACCGGTGACGATAGAGTGATCCCGGAGGGAGATCCATGCACAGGTATGTATATTTACTTACGTATATACGAGATAATGTTGCGGTTCGATTACTTTAGTAAGGCAAAGAACGTGAGATTCCATGTGTGCCACGTGGCTGATGGTGCTTCGGGTCGGCTCGATTATCGATCGTCTCCCATGTGGGTGAATGCTGAGGGTCTATTCTTCTTATCTCTCTTTTAGCCATCTGCATTTTCAAGTTTGCTCTCTTCCCTTTTTTTTCTCATTAGATATCTTTAAATATAGATTATTTTATTCCGAAAGTACAAAGTGTATAGCATATACAATGCAGCTAAAAAGATTTCTTTAGATCTGTTCTTTTTTGCAGCATTTTCTGCAAAAAAGAAAATCAAAAAATAGATTATATATATTACATACATATGCACAATCTATTTTTTTTTATCTTTCCTTTTTTTAACACGTGTTTCTCATTTCGAGTGTAAAAAATGCAATTTCGTGCAAATGAAAAGAATAGCTAAAGCCTGTATTAGATTGTACAGGATATAGACTAAGGTTGAAGATGAGGATTTGATCAATAGGGCAATGAAATCTTTAACTTGATTACTCGAATTTCAATTTGTCTTGATTGAATTTTAAGCCATGGCATATATATATATATATATATATATATATATATATATATATATATATACACATGATCTGATTTTCCGGTTAGATCGCATATTATCTAGTAAATTACTAAAAATATCACCATGTAGGATTGCATGTGAAAATCTATTAAATCAAACAGCGTTCGACCAATCAGGATAAAAGCAGCCAGGATTATCCTGATTGATCAATCGCTATAATTAGTTCAATTAATAATTAATATATATATTTAGAAATTGGAGAGGATGAGAGGAAAAACAAAAAATGCATAAAGTTCAGTTGCAAAGAACAAATCTATAATCCCTATCAAAAAGATTATGCATCGAAGATTGAGATTGAAATTTGACTAATCGGTAGAAATTTTAGCTCCTTTTATTCCGATTAGTCAAATTCCAATTTTTAATCTTCAATTTTCCATGCGTAGTCTCCGATACGAGCTTACGGGGCTCACGAACGGTGTTGAACTCGGAATATGGATTCGAACGTACGAGCGGATCGACCAATCGCGCGCGACCATCAATGCCACGTTGTCGCGCGCAGCGGCCACGGCCGGCCAATGGGAGAGCGCGCGCCGCCATCTCTGCGCGACTGGCGCAAACACAGCGACTCGGGAGAGGGAAGGGGAGACTGGCTCGTTTCGGCCGCGGCCGAAATTTGTCTCGCAGCCGTCGCCATGTTTAGAAGTGTGTACGCGTCCTTGGGCGTGCGGTGTGACAATGTATCGTAAAATATTAGATATAGCTCATGCGTCGTATGTTACGTGAGGTACCCAATTGCGAGTTGACCCACGCGGATCGCGGGCGTGACGATCATTCCCGTGGATGGCGCACCTACGTCGTGGAAATTTGTGATTACATTATGGTAAGTCCGCGGTCGTTCCGAAGCCAACGCCAACATGGCGGACGGGAGATTTCCTTTGTATCACGTCGCGCCGCGCGGTGTTGCGTCGGGCGGCTTCCCCACCCGTCGACGCCATTCGTCGTGTCCGGCGAGATCGCCTCCTCGCGCGTCTCCACGTCGTCGCGACGCGCATCTCCGTCTTGCACACCGTCTTGATCTCCCGTCACCGGCACCTCGATAGTATAAAGCACACCGATCCCTTGATGCACTTCTCGGATAGCAACCGGATCTCGGACCATCGTCCGGTTTGCCGGTCCGGGATCTCGCGATGATACACTTCCTCTCCTGACACTCGCCGATTCCCGATATCCCGTCGTCATGTACGATACTGAATTTCGCGTATGTATTGGTCGCATTCTGCGCAATATCTACTCTTATTTTTTTTATTTTTTTTTTTTTAAATCGACGAAGCCGTGTCTTACTCCGTTTACTCCGAATTCATCATTTTTTTTCTTTCGATTTACATTTGCGAACAATCGAGGTATTTCCGTCTTTCGATAAACGAATGAGCTCGTGCCGTGGAGATCATTGTTACTAGTATTTTTTTTAATATATATATTTATTTGCTTGAAATATTTCTATATTTATTTTTATTTTTTTTAGATAGTTTACAATATATCGAATAAGAATTATTTATATTCAATGTGTATTATTTAAAAAAGGATCAAAGTTTCTGTTGCATTGCAAATCTGCTTATCTGTTTAACATGTTTATTTCTGCATACTTTTAGTATATATAATATTTGAGGTCTCAATATTTTACATACACACTATTTCTTCACTATATTTTTATCTATGATGTTCTATATTCAATTAATGATTTAAGATACATATTGTATGTATCGTTTAAAATTAATACAAAAGTTTTTATCTAACTATATTTCTCATTGTTAAATTCTTCTTAATGATGTTATTGTCAAATCATTGTTGCTTGTTTTAATTCTTTAAATTAATCCTTTCATCTTTTTGAATATAATGTTTGTCATACTTTAAAAATATACCCAAATATATCTTATTAAAAAGAAAGCTAAGATATGAAGTATCTACAAGTAGATTGCTTTTTTTTTTTTATTTAAACTTAATAATTCTATATTTAGAAATTAATACATAGAGTATTGAGTATCTCTAAATTTTGTTTTTTAAAATTTGCTTCTAAATTTTAAGCTTTTCTAAGCTTTATTTTTTAGGCATTTTTTCATTACGATAAGAATACAAAAAGATGATATAGTATTAATCCTTTAAGAATATATATGCATTAATAAGATTTGTCGGCAGAAAAATTTCAAGAATTATATATCAAGTTGTACAAGTATATAACGAGGATTTAATGGACTTATGTATTGATGGGTATTTAAAGACATATATAAGATAACAAAATCTTTAATTTGAAAATATATTAAAAATTTAATTATATTAAAAATATATATATTTTTAAATAAATTCTATTAAAGTACATATATTGATGTTATATTTAAAAAAAGCGGGTCTTTAAAGAATTAATATTTAAATATTTACACTTTATACATAGTAAAACATGAATATTTATATGGTGCAAGTCACTGTGAATCATTATACAGTGCAACACTTTATCTTTTCAGCATAACGTGCAATGAGTGATAAGCAAGGTGCACCTATTTTACCACCCCTTAATCGGGGTGCGGCTAATAATGGAGGAAATAATGGAGGTGCAGCTCAACAGACTGTCAGTCTGCAGCAAGTTCTCGCTACTCAAGGCCTCAATGTGCTCTCTACTAGTAGCGGGCAACAGTTTGTCATTACGAGTCAAGTTCCTGGTCTTACGCAGGTGTGTCTTCATGTTACCAAATTTTTCTAGTTAGAATGTGTTGCGTGAAAAAATATATAATTTATATTTGTTAATAAAAAAAACAAATGCATTTTTTTCATAAAGTATAACAGGATGTTTTATCTAACTTAATTATCTAATTTGGTATATATTAAAAAAAAAATTATTTATGTATTAAATTAATTACAATCAGCGATTATGTTAACTTCTATTATTTGTACATTATTTATTAATTATTATTACTGCTTACTCAATAAAATATTTATAATAACTAAGCATTAACTTAATTAGTAAATAATTATATTCAGTGATGATTATCGAAAATTACTTTAGTTTTGATTATTTTTATTATTCATTAAAAGCATTGATTATTTAATCACGGATTACATTGTAATTAAATAATTAATCTATTTACACACTTGCACTTTAGCACAATTCTGTGCTAAAGTTTTCTCTGTGACAACGATTAATACTTGCGTATTTTTATTAATAGGTTATACCGAATAACATCACGACTAATGCAAGTGGAACGCAACAAGTCGGCGTCACGAGGATCGTCAACATTGCGGGGACGCCACCGCGTAACACGGCAGGATTGGTGGCCGGGAGTGTCAGTGTTGCCGGTACATCGCCGTCGGTCGCGTCGCGGCCACAGAACTCCACCAAGGTAGTATTAGCGACATCGCCGAAGCTCGTACGCACCTCATTAAGCAACATGTTTGCGACACCGATGTCGTCGCAGACGTCATCGCCACAGACACGGCTGCAATCGCCGTCACCGCCGGCGAGAAAGCGATTGAAATTATCGGAGACGACGGAGAAAACGGTTGCGTTCGATAGCAGTGGCTACCGTAGACGGATATTGGAGCACAAGATACGGCGGATGCGCATCGTACGGGAGAAATACGTCGAGAATGTGTCGGAGCTATTCTTTTTGCATATCGGCGGAAATATGATGGACTATCCCAGTTGGCAGAAACGGCCTCCGACGCCGCAATATTTGCACTTTTTACGTCAGCATCCGCTCGATCCGGATGACGATGACGAGGATTTGACAGTGCCGTTGTCATCGGATTTCTCGCAGTTGTCTGCTGTCACCACTGTTACTGCTGCCACCGTCGCTGCTGCTATTACTACTACCACCGCTGCTGTCACTGCCACCGTTGCAACCGTTACCGCCGGTTCTACGATGGTACAAATCCCAAATCAAAGCGCGGAAGTCAAGATCTCCGGCGCGGGTGTTACGCCAATAGCGCTTTCCACTACTCTACCTGCTGCGGCTTTAGCTCAGCTCACCCAACAAGGTAAATATTGTCTAATAATTAAGGCAGCAAGAAAATCTAGTTACTCATTGTTTGAGCGATATTGACCCGTAAGTTTACCTTCGATTCATAATGCATTCATCGAGAGTAACACTACATTCGCGAATTTAGCTACACAATATCATTGTTTTAGAATTGTTTGCGGTGGATGCTTATTTGAAACGGTGCTGACTTTTTCCTTGAAATAAAAAATCGCGTTATTGTTCAATTAATAATTTTAGTTAAAACCACAACACTGCTTTTACTATCCAAAAGTTTTACAGATCAATACTAGTATTATTAAATAGATAATAATTTATTAGGTATAACAATATCTTTATCATATTAGACGATTTTGCTAGAGATGATTTTTTTAAATATGTTTGGAGATATTTGGACATCGTTACAATTTAAAGAGATAATAACAGTAATAGGCTCAGGACAAGAACAATTAAGCGGGAAGACGGGAAGAAGAGCTAACATGGGAGGTCCACCCGAGTGTAAATTTGTTTATCAATTTCACTGGTCTTAGCTAATAAAGCACCTTTCAAAGTATAACATGCTAAGTCCACAGGCTAATATAACGCCTAATAATCGGGAAATAGACCCGGGATAATTCGGCTAGGCTGGGAACACAATGTCCTCTCCCAGGGCACTGCCCACTTTCTAACCCAATACAATGCATCGAATGCACATGACAAACGATATACATGCATTGTTCCCAGCACATGTTCCCAGCCTAGCCGAATTATCCCGGGTCTATTTCCCGATTATTAGGCGTTACATTAGCCTGTGGATTTAGCATGTTATACTTTGAAAGGTGCTTTATTAGCTAAGACCAATGAAATTGATAAACAAATTTACACTCAGGTGGACTTCCCTTGTAAGGCGCGAACTTATTTTTAAATTTTATTAACTAATGTGCATTAAAAATGTACGTTTTGGATAGTTTTTTAATCCATCTTCAGCATATTTATATCCATGCTTTCTCTATATTCAGCGTTAGAAGGAATCTTGCATCATCTTGAAAAATATTTCTTTAACGTTAATTATTTAACAAAGGATCAAGCGTTTTCTCATTCGTGTTATATTTTAATTCCTACTCATTATTATGAATAAAAAACTCCGGTTATTGTATACCGAATAAAAGATCATTTGCGCACTAGGACAAGTACCAGGTAGGCCTCAAGGGGGCCGCCATGGCATGGTATTTGCCTTCCGAGCGGCAATCCAGTCTTCACCGTCAATCACCGTTCATCCTCCATCCGCTTCTACTCTAGCACCTACGCTCATTATAGGTGATTACTGTAGGTCGCCTGCCGTGTTCGTTTCTTCGTGTCTTTAAGTCGCTCCGTATATTGGTTTCGCTTTCGGGCAATTTGTTAGTTGCTCCAAATCCCTGAGTTCTTATGAAAATCTTAATGAAATTGATTGTTTTCATGCGTTATATTTCTGTATTATATCTGTCGTACACTTAACTTGAACTGTTTGAATGATGATCGGGAGACGCTCGCCAAAAAAGACCTCGCTACTGCTATTAAAGACATATAGAAACTTGTACTTTCACTTTTCGAATAAATTAGCTGTATAAAATATACTAGAATTGGCAGAAAGTAAAATATAAAAAATAAGTAAAATGAATTTTAGCTGAAAACACTTATTATGTATCCAAAGTCACATATTACAATATGTTTTTTCATTGTATGTTTACTTTATGCCAATTTTGTAGAACAAATTGAACAAGAATAAATAACATGTTACATGTAACTGTACAACAATACTCTGTGTGGCGATCGTCCTGATTGTTATCAAATGCAAACGCATGTTTTTATTTGAAGCTTGGTAAAAACAATGTACATCTATTCCTTGCTGTTTCGGTATCACACACATACACCTACATTCTCTCAGATGCAAATGGAAGCGATTAGCTTATTTTATCTTAATTGACGTGTTTCATGACGATTTCATTTCTCGCTTTGGTAGTTATTGTCGACCTTGTAGACATATATCATCTTGTTTTTTATCTGTCCTGTGGAATCTTCAATGTTGTCAAAGATTTATTATTATTATTACCGTTATTATACGCGTGAGATATATAATGCTTTTGATATTCAGAATACTGAGATTTAGAAATATTATGAATTTAAGCTTCATTTCTTTAATGAAAATGTGATTTCAAAAATAATAAAGTTATTATTTTTATTTTCTCTATTCATAATCTCTAACGTTTATTTTTATTTTAGTTAGCATTAATGTTTACTATTCTCATTATTATAAATTATTTTATTGTTGTCAATCTATATAAATTATTCAAAATATCTCAAAATCTCTCTTATTGCCTGAAATATATTATGATATTCTATTTAAGCAAAGGAAGTTATTGTAACCATATTATATTATCTTGTATTTATATTTTTAAATCTTATTCTCATCTAAAAGATATCTATAAAATGATCTATAAATAGATCTATAAAATGTTGTTCTCCAGTTTCATCTGAGTTATGTAATAAGATAGTTCTGCCATAAATATCTGTTTATGCTATAAATATATATTTAGCAATCATTATTTAATTTTAAAAAAAATTAAAAAGTGATAAAACAATGTGATAATACAAAGAAATGTGTATCACAGCACGAGTATCCATCTTGTGCCAGTAAACATGTAAAAAAGAAATGAATGGCGGATTAAGATAGCTTGTAAGCAATCGATATAATTTCGCAAATAAGTAAAAAAATGCGGATGTTTAAGAAAAATTTTTTTAGTAAAGAGTGATACATTGACCGTTGAGATTAATTGCTTCTAAAACCCAATGACTCACTTTTCAGCAAATAAATTACTATTTATCGGTGTTATATACGCTACTATGTATCGCTACTATGTTTGCCAGCTCTTCGATTTTATTTCATTTTATTTTATTTTATTTTATATATATATATATATATAAATATATATAAAATTTACATCATATATATTATAACAATCTTTTTAATCATGTTACCATTTCAGGTGGAACACCGGTAGTTACGGAACCGTCGAAGCCAGCGGTCACGATTACTGCCCCGAGTCCGGTGATGGAAAAACCATCGTCGTCAATAACCACCATCGTCACCCCGAAAACGCCTACGACAACCACTGCGCTCAATAACCCCCAGCCTGTCGTTAAGCTCGTTAAGTTGTCTACACCTACTACTGTAATTACTTCCTGTGATATCACGAACAATCAGGAGCAAATTGTGGAAAAGGCTAAACAGGTAATTGTCATATCCTTAATAATTGGTTCTGAATACTATCTTTTTGCAATATAAAAAGCATATATAAAATATCAATATCAATATCTCATTGAATGTGTAAAAATTTTAATGAATTAAATTATTATTAAATTATTTTGAATTATTTTTATTATTAATTATTTTATTATTTAATTGTGGTACGTGTTTCGAAAAAATCGGATATATTATTTTTATATTTAAAATTAAACATTTTATGATAATGACTACGATTATTGGAATACAGGAGGCATACGTGATGCAGAGGATCGCTGAGTTGCAACGTGAGGGATTATGGTCAGAGCGGCGATTACCTAAAGTGCAGGAACCAGCTCGAACCAAAGCCCATTGGGATTATTTGCTGGAAGAGATGGTGTGGTTGGCTGCCGACTTTGCCCAGGAGCGCAAATGGAAGAAAGCTGCGGCGAAGAAATGTGCGCGAATGGTGCAAAAGTACTTTCAGGAGAAGGCGATTCAAGCGCAGAAGGCCGAGAAATCGCAGGAACTCCGATTGAAAAAAATTGCTAGCTTCGTCGCAAAGGAAATTAAAACCTTTTGGACGAATGTCGAGAAGGTGAGCTAGAACAAAAATAATAAAATTAATATTTAAAGATTTTAAATAATCAATTAATGTATCATAATTTATCGATTTAGATCGATGAAAAAATTGTTTATATTTGTTTTAAATTTTATTACCATTATTATGTTATATTTCTTTTCTTTTATACAAATAGATCGGTTTAATTCTGCTATTACCCCACACTAATTAAGCCGACCTTCTTGATGTATCGTTATCAGAAGCGTGTGCTCGTTGTGGGAACAGCAAAGTCTGCGCATTGTGTATGGTTGTTTAGTTTCCTAAATTCAACCAAAGAATTTAGTGCAGGACACCTATTTTATCAAATTACAATCATATATCGATTATGTCATAAACGCGATATCTCGTAAATGCTTTTTAATTTGAGCAGATGAAAATTCTTATTAATAATTTTAATAACAATATTAAGACAGGATTAAAAAAACATTAAATATAAATTTTTTAAAATAAATTTAAAATATATTTTTTGTAATTTGTTGCCAGTTGGTGGAATATAAACAGCAAACGAGGTTGGAAGAAAAACGAAAGAAGGCGTTAGATCAACATTTGAATTTCATTGTGGGTCAAACAGAAAAATATTCCACATGGCTGACAGAAGGTCTCAACAAGACCGATGGTTCACAAAGTATTCCAGCTTCCATGAATAGCTCGCGCATCTCTTCGCCAGTTCCGCAGGGAAAATGTCATTCTGATGGTATGTTTAATTCATAATATAAAGAAAAATTAATTTTATATGAAGGTATATAATTAATAAAATAGTTTGTAACATTAATATTATGTATAACATGATGTTAATAATTATATTAACATTTATAATAACTTGATAACACATTTCGATGCCAAAAAATTATTGTTGATAAAGTTATTTTATAACAGTAAAATTTACATCGTAAAACTTTTAATTATGATATTGTATAATTATTCTGTAGAACTATGTAATAATATTGTATAAAATTCTTAATTTAATAGCTTTTATTATTATAATTTATGAAAGACGTGCATATACTTTGGAGCTTAGAACGAGCTTTTGAACTTAATGGCTGGATAAATTAATTTACTTAAACTGTGCGCTGAGTTGCATATAAATTATTTCAACTAAATCTCTTCTGTATATATAATAGATTGCTTAAATATTATTTTGATTATATAATGTTTAATAGATTATGTATACAGGGTGTTCGACAAATAAGTGACCAATCGAAAGGTGGAAGTAGATTGGGTCAAACTGAGTCGAAAAGTCCTGAACCATTTTTTTTATAACGCTTAATAAAGGAGTTATTATTGATTAAAGTCTGGCCAACCAGCGCCGATCTTTAGCCGGGCGCACGTCGGTGAACCGCGCGCCTGGTAATATGCGGCAGCGTACACTTCACGGCGCGCGGCTCACCGACGTGCTAAAGGTTGGCGCTGATTGACCAGACTTTACTCAATAATAACTCCTTTATTAAGCGTTATAAGAAAAATGGTTCAGGACTTTTCGACTCAGTTTGACCCAATCTACTTCCACCTTTCGTTTGGTCACTTACTTGTCGGACACCCTGTATAAATTATTTTAATTACATAATAGGTTTTATTTTCAATTATGTTGTGCATAAACTATTTTACTTTTAAATCACGTACTATTTATTAAATTAAATTCCTATTTAGTTTATCTTTATTATAAATTTACTGTAATCTTATTGTATTATATAAATTATTTTAGATTGTATAATATATGCAACGCACATTACAGAGGAATTCCAGCCAAATCAGAGTTCAGATGATGACGAGGAAACTATAGCTAAGGCCGAAGAGGAAATGAAATTAACGACCAATCATAAAGAGGAAGTGGAATTATTGAAGAGAGAATCGGAAATACCTCTGGAAGATCTTCTGAAAGATTTGCCGCCAGATTATTTGGAGGATTGCAACAAAAGCTTATCACCGCAAAACGCAACAAACGAAGAGGAGCAAAATGTATGTTTAAGACCAGGAGTAAAAAAAAAATTATTTGTGCATATCTCATTTTTTTAAACTTACACAATTCATTTTTTCAATTTTACACAAAGAGGAAAGATGTTGCTGCAAATTTCTTTATTTAATGTATTAATAAAAACAATGTGTTTTGATATGATAAATACTTTGCAGAACGATCTTCTTTTTTGTGCAAAATTATCCCAAAACAGCTAAAGGTTATAAAAATTGTTTTAAAAGTTGTTTTAAACCACTTTAATGGAAAATTTTATTAATATAAATTTTTAATATAAAAATATGAAATTCTCTTTTAAATTGATTAAAATTGCAATTTTTTAATCAATCTGCTGCGGGAAAGATTAAACGAGATTTTACAATTTTTATTATAGGACAATAAGGAAGCAACTGACGCGGATGCAGATTTCGTCGCGGCATCTGGTGAATCCTCAGACGAAGAAGATACTATCATGGAAGAGGAGAGACTCGAGGGAGAGATCGATCATAAAAGGGAACTCGATGAGCTTAAGGTGTATAGTTTTTCTTTGTAATTATTAATTATTTTAATATTGAAAAATAAATGGACGATTGTAATTCTTTTTTTTTTTTTTTTTTTTTGCCACATTGTATAGATGTAGAATAAAAATATGCTCGTCTTCATTTAGGCTGACAACGAAATGTCTATTGAAGAACTTGCGGCCAAATATGCAAATATGTCGGACATGTTGATGGACGTGGATGTGGACGTGGAGGTTGAAGGTAATTATTATAATTGTATTTATTATTACATTATATGTAAAAGCTTTGTAATTATATAAAGGCTTTTTTTGTATAAATTATATATTACGGTGATGATAGTACTACCAATCCTGATGGTGCGAGATATTTGGTTTTCATTTATCTCGATTACCCTCTGTGCTGTAAAATGAGGCATTTGTCTGAGAAAATTTTAAAAATCATATATAGTATTATTGCTAAAAAACGAAGCAAATCGAATTTAATCAAATGCTATTTTTCATTCTCTTTTAGGTACAGATAAAGAGAACAGTGACAAGGAAGCGGCTCCGGAAACCGAAGACCAAACAACCAGTAGCGAGAACGAGAGTGAAGAGAGTGATCGCGAGAGCGACGAGGAAGAGATTCGGACTCAGAGCGATGCCGAGGCAGATGTAGGACTTCAATCTCTCCTTGAAGATCCATCTGAAAAACAATCGGATAGCAGAGTGAGTAATAATAGATTTTTGTTACACACACACATGCACGAATTCTTAATTTCCTCAGTTATTACATCATCAAGCTCACTATAAATTGACGGGTTTGTATTGAGTTATTTTTTGCTTTTGAATCAATTTTTTTTCTATTTTATATATATATATATATATATATATATATACACACATGTATTTCCTTGTAATTTTTTCGCATGACATGTGATTATTTTTTGTTATAGATTTCAGACGATCATTCAGACGCTCGTAACGAGATGGATAACGTTGCCGCATTGGCCGAGAGCATTCAGCCTAAAGGAAACACATTGCTCACCACTAGTGTAAGTCTTTTTACGTTTATCTTCTTAATTTCTCTTTATTAAATCTTATTATTCAAAGTATAGATATGTATACATGTATATAAAATTCACCACACGTTGCCTCGTCATTTTGTGTTTTCTTCTAATCACCGCATGCGAATTATATCCATTCATGCATTCTATCCATAAGATATACGCGTAAAACACTGTAATTTACGCTCGCGATCGCGTTTATTCTCTTTGTATATCCAATGCACACACAGTATATATATACAGCGCGCATTATAATTCGCGTGCACGCATACATAATGCGAGGGCTGTCCATAATGAAACCAAACTTTAAAAAAGCGCCCGAATGCGATGGCATGAGGTCATTCGCTTTGTGACACTATGTAGTGGGTTTTTTTGGCAACTTTCTCACACCACGAGCATGACGCTATCGTTCATAGTTTACGTTTTATAGTGGCTTGAATGAGCAATATGTCTATTTTTAAAATAATAAAAATTATACATAATTTATGAATTACTTACCACATATCGTTGGTCTGTCCGTCACGTAAACTTCCTTTTTCACTTTTGCTCATCCTTTGCTGTTTCGTTGTAGCATTCACATTCACTCGTGAAAACACGATTAATTATGATTATCCGTATACACAACGATCGCGAGATACTTTGCACGGCACTCCCGATCACGGAACAATCACATGAGATACGCAGTTTATTATACCGTAAGACAGAGCAACTTATAAGAAGTATGATTCGCTCGACGTTTATACGAAGTACAAAATTATGCGTTACTCGTTACAACAATGCTATCTCTTTAGATACTGACTTGGACTTCGTGTAAACGTCGAGCGAATCGTACTTCTCGTAAGATCCTCTGTCTTACGGTTCAATAAAGATAAAATAGAGAGAGAGAGAGCTCTTTCTCTAATGTTGATAAATATAGTATATACACAATAACATGGATCGTAAGATCGAAAGATTAAAATAATGAAAAGTTGTTATAAAGCAATTGTTTAATTAATAATTAATTTATACTTGCATTTTAGGAAAATTAAAGTATATACAAAATATATTTGACTCTAAACATTGTTAGAGAAGTAATTATTATCCGAAAAAATCGATAATCAAAGGGATCGTAATGAAACGATAATTTATAATTTTTATGCTTGTCCATTTGCTTTTTACTCGCAATAATAGATGATCGTGATTCGAAAAAGATTTATCGTCGCGACACAATTTTATGTCGTTTATCAAAAGTTAATTAATAGTTAATTGTAATAATCATAGTGAATTATGTTTCGATACTAGTCCCGATCGCTTTTAGAAAAGGAATTTGTTTATACGAAGCGTTTTGCACTTCTACTTTATTGCTCGAGTGTCATCGTGCGAATAATAACAAAGCCGTAATATATAAACATTAGCGCGCTATTGTTTACGCCATCAAGGCTGAATATCATGGTAGTGATAATTCACTGCCGAAATATTTTATGCGCTATGACGTGTATATAATATAATTAGATATGATTTAACGTATGTAAAAGATAATTAATTACTAATTATATTAATCATATCAAACTATATATTTCTCGATACTTGTCGCGTTCGCGTTTGAAAAAGAAATTTGACGGAGCGTCTCGCATCAAACTTTCCTACTCGACTGTCGCCGCGTGAATGATAATAGAATCAAGGAATGTAAACAATAGCACTCTAATGTTTACGCCGGCAAAGCCGAACACCTTGTTATTGATAATACATTGCCGAAATATTTCACATCCTATGACGTATATATATATATATATACGCGGAATATTATATATAGAAGTAGTTTAAGTTATAAATTAATTAATTATCTGTTAAACGATAGATGTATCACAGAAAGCTTTCATTATATTAATTACTTGATCCTGTGATACGATTGCGCGTTCTCAATTTGAATTATATTTAAATAATTAAAAAGTGTCGTACGATAAAGTATCGGACGAAATATTTTTAACTCTAAGTATCATCGGGAGAGAGTTACGTATTATTTAACATATATAATATATATAAAAGATAATTAATCATTAATCATATTAATTTATCATTGTTTGCTGCTCACATTCCCGATACTTCGCGATTTATTAATTATTTATAGCAAATTATTTCGCGATACTTTTCGCGATTGCCATGAGAAAAGAAATTTGACGGAGCATCTCGCACCACTATGTTTCTGTTCGAGTGTCGCCGCGCGAATGATAACAATGCCGAGGCACGTAAACATTAGCGCGAGAAGCGTTTCCTGTCACTACTTTATTGCTCAAGTGTCGCCATGCGAAAGATAACAAGTAAGAAAGGAATATTTGACGGAGCGTCTCCCACTATTATAATACTATTCCAATGTCGCCATGCGAATAATAACAATAGTAATCAATAAACAAAAAACGTAAACAATAGCGCGTTATACGCAAAGGCCGAATTCCAATTCCCAATTCCATTCATAATTCGTTGCCGAAATATTTTACGTTCTATAACATATATAATTATATGCGGAATATTAAATTGTACAAGTATTTTAAATTATAGAATTAGTTATTAAACGATCGTCGATAAAACATCGGACGAAATATAATTTAACTTTAAGTATTTTTAAAGAAATAATTATTGCTTATAAAGAGAGAAAGAGAGAGAGAAAAATCGCGCAACAAAACAATAATTTACAATTTTAATTCCTGTCACTTTGATTCTTGATCAAATGTACATGTAATTACATATTATTTATAAAAGTTAATTAATCTTATGTTATATAAAAACGTGACGGTATACCTTTAACCGCACGACCAAAAAATTATTAACGCTGCTAATGATAAAACTCTTTATGAAATGAAAGACTACGGTTCGAATTGTAGGAAAACTAATAGAATATACAAAGCACTCGCTCAGAAAATAGCTAATTTTGTGCGTGTATGCATATCGAATTTAATTTGATATAATTTAAAAATTTATAATCTAAGATAATATCTAAAATTATAATCTAAGATATTCTCAATTGGCCGACTCGCGTGTAGATACACGGGGAGGTGCCTCGCTGCTGCTGCGCTTGACTTGGTGCGAGACGTTACTGTGTCTCATGATTTTATGGTTTTATAAATTTTTTACAATTTGTAAACGTTCAACATTTGATATTTTAACAAATGAATTTAAAACAAAAATTTTATTATAATGTAGTCTATTGAAATTAAATGAAAAATAAGATTTTATTTTTTATATGTTAATGTCTCGATAATTTTTAATAGGGTGAAATTAATTCTCTAGGAGTTTTATAATTTATATGAGAATATACAATATGTTGCAAATTTTTGTTTCTATACTTTAATTATTTTATTTTGTATCAAGAAACTTAAATAATGTTTGGTAAATAATCCTTTCGATCCAAGGTGATGAAGCAGTAATTTTGCTCATTATCATTTACGAAAGGAATATTAATAGTGATAGTTTTCTTGTGAATAAATGTATATCTATCTTATTCTGGAAAATAATCACTACAAGATTATTAATAAATTCTATACAGATTATCTCACTATGTTACATCAATCTTTAATAACATACATTTGATAAATTTTGACTGATTTTTTTTTAAAACGTCCAAGCATCAATAATTTTCGAATTATAAATCAGAAGTTGTTTTTGTGAAGTAAACTTCAAATTATCAATTGTTAATAGATAATAAAGACTTGAAACAAATACGTATAGATGATAAATTCTGTCAACATAGTTCAAAGAATCTGAATAAAATTAAATTTGTGACTTGTAATGACATTTTGTATAGAATCTAGTTCTTATATATTATTTCTCATGTGTTCATTGACGTTACATTTTATTTTTCAGGTTGTCACTAAAATACCTTTCTTGTTGAAACACTCCCTTCGCGAGTATCAGCATATAGGATTGGATTGGCTTGTCACTATGTATGATAGAAAGTTAAATGGTATTTTGGCGGACGAGATGGGTCTAGGTAAAACTATACAGACCATCGCGCTATTGGCGCATTTAGCCTGTGAGAAGGGAAATTGGGGACCGCATCTTATAATTGTACCGACCTCCGTGATGCTCAATTGGGAAATGGAATGCAAAAAGTGGTGTCCCGGATTCAAGATACTGACGTATTATGGGACGCAAAAAGAGAGGAAACAAAAGAGAACAGGTAACAATATATAATGAATTAAATATAAGTGTCACTGTAAAATATTCTCTGTAAAGATTTTTCTTTTCCATGTAAAATTTTTATATCTTTATATATTTCTTTTTATCTTTGACTTATGATTTATTGACGTTACTCGCTGCCGACAACAGATACTAGTTCGATATGGCCGATATCTGTTTTATAGTACAGCGAAATAATAAAATTCTCTATAAAAACTCGCGTGTCAAAGGTCAATCTGACATTCTGACATACGAATCCTGTCGGGAGAAACAATTAAATTATTTAATTCAATAATATTTAATTGAAAGATTATTGTTTAAATTTATACGAAGTATAATTTGTTTTTCAACGTTCACAGGTTGGACGAAACCGAACGCTTTTCACATATGCATTACATCCTACAAATTAGTGATACAGGATCACCAAAGTTTTAGACGGAAGAAGTGGAAGTATCTCATCTTGGATGAGGCACAGAATATTAAGAACTTCAAATCGCAGAGATGGCAGTTGCTCTTAAACTTCCAAACACAACGGTAACTAATCTATTACAAGATTATTTCATATTTTAGTTAAGTGTGATAGAGTTTAATTCATAATTTTTGTGATAATCATATATATACAGTTTAAAATATTAGAGATAAAAATATTTGTAATAACATATTCGAATATGCCGAGGTTATTAATTGAAAAACTCAGTAATAATAATTTAATCTACGTTTTTAAGAATTATTTTTACTAATTTTCTAATTTTTTAATAAAACTTCAATTATTGTTAGAGCATTATATTTGTTCGCATAAGTTTATCTTGATTTCAAAGATTCGATATAATAGTGACCTAGCTTTTATATATATATAGACATCATAAAAGTTAATTTTAAGATTGAAAAAATTAGATTTAAATTTCTCTTATTGTTAGATAAATTTCAGAAAATTAATTTTATTTAATTTTTCTGAGATTTTAAAGAATAAATTGGATGAATTGGAAGAAGTTTTGCACTAATTTATTCAATTGAAAGTAATAGAAATTGTTTCATTCTCTCTCTCTCTCAGCATTATTGCATCGCTTTTCGTTACTTGTTGCAGGAGATTACTTCTTACCGGTACACCTCTTCAAAACAATTTAATGGAACTGTGGTCTTTGATGCATTTTCTTATGCCTAATGTATTTCAATCTCATCGCGAATTTAAGGAATGGTTTAGCAATCCTGTTACAGGCATGATCGAAGGCAATAGCGAATACAACGAGAATATAATCCGTCGTCTCCATAAGGTCTGTACGTAGTTTTTTATCTTTTCTCATTTTTCCTTTTTTTTTTTTTTTTTTTTTTTTTTTTTTTTTTAAATTTTTCTTTTTTTTTTTTTCACTCTAGAGTCATGTCAACGCACATATGTGTGGTCTTGTATGAGAAATTCTTTTTCTTTTCACGATATCGTTTTTTACGTTCCTCTCCTATCTCGGTTACGTTAATGAGAATTGAGGTTATCTCTTGTAAATAAATTATTAATGATATTTATCGTTTTTCTTTTTTTTTTTTTTTTTTTTTTTTTGGTTTATAACATTATTAAAGAAATTTGAATAATTTTTATTCAGCATAAATATATATGACACATTAAATTTGTTATGATAATATATTTAATATTAACAACATTCTCCGTAGGTGTTGCGGCCATTTCTCTTACGACGACTGAAAATCGAGGTGGAAAAACAATTGCCAAAAAAATATGAGCACGTGATCATGTGTCGTTTGTCAAAACGTCAGAGATTTCTGTACGATGACTTTATGTCGAGAGCCAAGTAAGTTAATTCTTTAACGCTCAAATTTGCGCTCAAACATTAACGATGAAAGACGAAAAATACTTTATTTTTCTCTAATTGAAAGTAATGTTTCTTTTATTTTGTTTATACATAAAATATTTTATTTTTATTATACAGTAAAATGTAATATAAATAAAAATGTGTTATTAGTATATCAAAAAATCCAATTTCCGTATTTTGTTAAAGGACGAAGGAAACACTCGCCAGCGGAAATCTGTTGAGTGTGATTAATGTATTAATGCAATTACGAAAAGTATGTAACCATCCGAACTTATTCGAGGTGCGACCGACCGTTTCCCCGTTTCAAATGGAGGCACTTGAATTTCTGACCGCCTCATTGGTTTGGAGCGTGTTCGATTACGATCCCTTCAAGGTAAAACAATGACCGTTTCACAATGTTCTTGTTTTATTACAATCAATTGTTATTCGATCTTTGCGAATTGTGATTTGACTTTTGCAGCACATCCAATTGTCCAGTTTGAACTTTTTGCTGTTAGATCTGGAATTGACGCTCAGTGCATTCGTTGCGCACAGAATGAAACGATTGCAAACGCCCAGAAAGCTTATAGAGGAAATAGATAGCCAGCCAGAACCGACGCCGAGATGTCCGTCCGGCCGGATTAAGATCAATGTTAGATTGTCGAATCAAGCGAAACCACAGTCGTCAAATACACAACAGCAACACCAACAACAGCAAACGCCAACTAGATTGAAGAATCTTGCTGGAGTATTACCCACGCCAAGAGTGGGTACATCTCTTTCAATAAAATCGTTAAATACTAGTCAGGCTGGTTCAGGACGAGGTAGGTCTAGAATGATGCTGATATCTTATTATATTAACATTTTAGCAGTCTCATTAGTGGCAAAATTATTTTGCGAGCCAAGAGAAATGCAAATTAATATCAAAATATAATTGATTTTTTTAAAATTTCTTAGCGATTTAATTGATGTATTTAAACTGTAATATATATAATAAAATTGTAATACATATTATTAATCTTTTTTGTTTTAAATGCGAAATGCAAATATTTTTATTCTTAGGTGTTACATTGAGAGTTGCGAGTGGTCAACAATTGCAAGGATATTCCGTGCAACTGGTGCCACATCAGGCTGGCGTGAAAGGTAAGCTACTCTTGTTTTTTTTTATTTTGCACTTTTTAGTTATGTACCTTTGAATGATATTTTTATTTGTATAATATTTTCCAAACTTGGAAGTATAAATGTTACCTATATGAGTTTTGCAAACAATCTGAAATTTCTCTTGACGAAAATTTTATCAAATGTTTTTGTAGAATTTCTATATAAAACATTTCTATATCAAAAAATATTTAATTTTTCTTATTCAATTGTCTACATGAAACTTATTGATTGAACATTATATAAAATAATTTGTGTGAAGAAGCTTTTAAAATTGCTTATAACTCGATAAGAAAGATGATTTGAATCTTTTTTTATATATATATTTTTTTTTATCTTTGAATTGTTAACATTTCCAAAGTTTGTACCTGTAATTTTCTCATATTTCACATATGTCTGAATTTATTTTTGTCTTATATTTGACATAATTATGCATATAGAACATGAAACGAATAAATTGTTTGCGTTATTGTGTGCATCATTAATCAGTGATTGCTGCTGTTTCTCACTAGGCAATCATTTTTGCAGTGATGCTAGATCAATTATTCCTTGAACCAGCTTGTTTATAATCTAACCATTTATAAGCATTCTAAAACTAAGGATACAATTATTCAAAACTATCACTTCTTGTAGCTAAACGCGGAAATCTGAATATTTCCATTCTTTTTACTATATTTATATTTTTATAATATGATGTCTGAAAAATGGAGAGGAATAGTCGTATTAATTTTAACGTAAACAGCAAATTTATCTGCAATGATAAATGTGATATATGTATATATATATATATATATATATATTTTATACATAATTTAAAATACATATATGTATATTGAATTTAAATTTTTGTAAAATAGCTATTCCCGTGGCAACGCTGGGACATAATCCGCAAAGTGCCACTGTGACGTCAACTACGACAGGGACAAACGCGCAAAGATTCACAGTGGGGAACGCTAGCCTCAGAGATGGCATTCAACGATTAACGACGCAGACCGTCACGGTTAAGCAAGGCGATTCCGTCCAGAGAATAGCGGTGCCTGGTTTTGCACAGTTAGTTCAAACCTCTACCGGCAGACATATCCTTTTGACGTCGAATCAACAGAATACTAACACAGGTTTGTCATCGCGATTCGCGTATTCTTGCTAAACCATTGTTTGCAATAATCAACGGATAAAAGAGAAAAAGAAGAATAATACGTTTTGTATCGACAGTTTCGTTTCCAGTCATGACCTCCAGTGGTTCGCGTCTCGCTGTATTGTCTAAATCATTGATGGGTTTGTCCACCTCGGCCGCCACGACAGTGAACAAAGTCGTCGGCGGTGTGGTGACAACGCCGAGTGGCCGACCCGTTATGAGAGTACCTCCTCTGAACGTCACCGCTTCGCAGTCACCATCGGGCGGAAATAGCCAACAGCAATCCAGTCAACAACAATCGCCATCGATACGTAGCATCGTCACCAGACAAGCTCAGAAGGAAACCAGTAAGGCGCAGAGTAAATCCGAACAGCCCAAATCCGAATTTCACTTGGTAAGTTAACAGATGTCTATAAAATATTGATTCTTTGTCAGGGTAATTAAAAAATAGAGAATCAGTAGTTTAACTTTCGAATACTCACATTAAGTCAATTTTATCCAAATAATTTTTGTTTAATTTTTTTCCTGCAAAGAATATAAAATTTTTATTTAATAGATAGAAATATCCTTAATTATTCCTCGTTAAATGCTCTGATATCTAGATAATAGAGACTTTAATATTATTGATCGCTTTACAGCCGCAGCTGGAGGAGGAAAGACGGCAGAGAAGACAGGCCAAATTGTGCCTCACGGCAGACATCAATCAGCGAAGATGTGCGGCGTGTCCGCTTTACGGTGAAGATGTTTTCATGGCTTTAAGAATTGGCAAGCCTACGACGGCTTGTCGCTGGCACAACGGTTGGGTGCACTGTACGACGGCCAAGGAAAACATTCGTACTCGCAAGCAGTTCTTTTCACGGACGGAGGCGCTCGCTGAAGCCATCAAGAGTACAGAGCAGATTGTTGAAGAGCTAAAAGAAGTCTTTGAAAGGTTGATATACGAGATATAATACATAAATTAAATAATATTATTGACGAATCACAATTCTTCAGGTCCATATCAATATTCATCAGATTTTTTTTTTATTAATGTCGGATTGATGTTTTTGTGTATATAGCAAAAACTTAATTATATATCTTTTTGAATTTTCATTATTAAATGTTCAGCTACTTAAATCTCGCGAACTAAATTTCTGTCAACGGCCACTTGAAATTAATCGCTGAATACAATTTTATGTGTATTTATTTTACATTATTTTACGTCTATAGTTATTGATGTAAAATAACGTAAAATAAATAGTATATTGTTTCTGAAATAAGATAAATTTTCTCGATATATCCGTAGATTTGTAGTCCACGTACCGGCTGTGCGCGCGCCGACGCCTCGATTCCATGTGTCTCATCCACCACCTCACAAATTGTGGGACGAACGTCAACTGCGGACTGAACTGCAAAGACAACTATCACCAAAATCGGCAGTGTTTCATCCGATCTCGAGTCTCATGCTCACGCAATTCCCTGATCCCAGACTTATCCAATATGATTGTGGCAAGTTACAATCGTTGGATCGTCTGTTGAGGAAGCTGAAGATCGAAAATCATCGGGTTTTAATATTTACACAAATGACTAGGATGTTGGATGTGCTGGAAGCTTTTCTGAATTTCCACGGACACATATATCTACGATTGGACGGCACCACTAGGGTGGATCAACGTCAGGTAGTGATCAATATGTTATATCATTAACGAGATGCTATAATAATAGTGATGCGTACGCGTGACATCTAAATTTTTCAAATGCTGATTTTAATTAGGATTTTAAGTATGAATAGTGGCTACTGAGAACATATTAATCTTTCGTATAAATTTTAAAAGGAAATATATATTTTATATATAATAAAGATGATAATTAAACATATAACAAAAGCATATGAAATTTTATTTGTATGCGATATGTTCTTATTGCAATGTTAGAAAAAAATAGTGGATGGAATTGCTAACGACGCTAATGACTTGACACACAGATTCTGATGGAGAGATTCAACGGTGATAAGCGAATTTTTTGCTTTATTCTGTCAACGAGATCTGGCGGTGTTGGCGTGAATCTTACGGGAGCGGACACAGTAATATTTTACGACAGCGACTGGAATCCCACGATGGACGCTCAAGCGCAGGATAGATGCCACAGGATCGGACAAACACGGGATGTACATATCTACAGGTATACATGCGAATTAATACCAATAATGAAGAAATAATATTAATAATTCACAATAATTTGTATTGACGTAATAATATATGTATATTTGATTGTGTATTATTAGTATTATTTAATATAATTAACCATTAGAATAAAAGTTTAGAAACCAAAAAAAAAAAAGAAATTTTTAATCCTAATTAACAATGTGATGGCAAATATAGATAACAATTTATATTTCAGATTAGTCAGTGAGAAGACTGTAGAAGAGAATATCCTAAAGAAGGCGAATCAGAAGAGGTTGTTAGGCGATCTCGCAATTGAAGGCGGAAACTTCACTACGGCATACTTTAAAAGCGTAAGTACTTCAATAAAAATTTGTGTCGCACGAATTATATTGTTTCTTCGTATTATTAATCAGAAAACTTTTCAATTTCAATATTTTCAGAAGAAAACGCGAAATAATTTTTTAAGGCAATTTATATTTATTTATTATAAAAGTTTAAAACTTTTTTGAATCACAATATTACTTAAATTTAAAAAAAATAAAATAAAATTTATGAAAATTTCAGATTAATATACATTCGTGAAATATTTTGTTCATCAATGTTGTTGAAGGCGTTATATTTCGACTACATAAAAACTAAATACTTGCGTTCGCCATTTATCTTTCGTATAATAATAAAATTATTTTCAGTCCACTATTCAAGATCTATTCAACATCGATCAAACGGAGAACGATGCATCGATGCGAATGGCCGAGGTGCTGGAGCAGAATCGGGAACGAGAAAAAGCTTGGAGCAAGGAACCGACAGCAGGATCGTTTCAGGGCGGCATCTCGAATCATACGGAGGAGAAAGCGGCGATGGGTGCTCTCGAGAACGCTCTTGCCGCTGCTGAGGAGGATCTTGATGTTCAAGCCGCGAGAACTGCGAAAGCGGAAGCCGTTGCCGATCTTGCCGAATTCGACGAGAACATTCCGCTAGAGGACGCCGACAAAGACGAGACGCAGGTCAGCAAGGCGGAACAGGAAGTTCGAAATCTGGTTGCTCAGGTAGGAGAAACGTTTCTCGTCGATTCGCTGGATTAGGCGAGTCGCTTTCATTTTGTTTCATTTTGTCGACTATTGCTATCCTTAATGCTTGTGTATTAACTCTATGACTCTATAACATTTTATTTAGCTTACTCCAATCGAGAGATATGCCATGAGATTCGTCGAGGAATCAGAGGGAGCGTTTTCCGCGGCACAGCTGGCCGCGGCAGAACGGGAACTCGAGCAGCAGAAGAAGGAGTGGGAATTGGACCGGCTGCGAGCGCTGCGCGAGGAGGAAGAG